GCAATATATACATTTGGGCTGCTTTTTGCATTCTGTATAGATATTTTCGAAAATATCTATGACCAGATTGGAACTGTGTGACATAATAGTATAATCTCGCTGAAATTTCTTTCCGTCCACGACTTTACGTTCGGAATCAGCTTTGCAGTCCATCTTCCTCTTAAATCGGAGTTCCACCGTTGTTACCAAATCTGAAAAGTTTGTTCCCTTATATCTTGAAGGTCTGTTGAGTTGTTTGTCGATCTCTGTTTCCAGCGTTTTTTCCGTTCATGTGCCTGGAGGTCGATAGGGATTCCACTAATCACCAGAACTGCAGGCTCGGATACGGTTCGATATGCAGAAGCTACCCGAAGTGCAGCAGTCCGCTGTACAGCTGCGTAAACTTTCCTCCTACATTCAACCTTTAAGGCGTTTGCCCAAATCTCGCACCCGTCAAAATCTTGTTATAGTAGTACTTACAGTATAGCAGTAGTTATAGTAGTAATACTCTTTAAACGTGTTTTCTTTATCTAACTGACGTAATAGCAGTAGAGTTTCAGTAGAATATTCCATAAGAAGAAATGTTGCAAGTAAATGTAGTTAATATTCCTCAATTTTAAAAATATTAGATGAATGGGGTGTGATAAAAATTGAATAAATATTTGAAAGTTTGCGAGCTGTTTCCTTTAGTCTTTTTTGTGTATTGACTGTACTGCTAGTAATGTATATATTAACTATCGGTTAGCTGTGACTTTTAGTTTATGTTTCCAAGTATATGATCATGAGTGTGTTTAGAGATTTTTTAGATGAATGAAAGTTGAACCAGAGATTTTAGTGAAAATTTTGTATAAAAGCGATTTTAAGGGCAACAAAACATTTAAAGTCTTAAATAAATCCTTTGTTGCGATATTATGTCTTAACTATGAGTTTATGAATGGTATAATAAGGGTAGAATGGTAGTGATGAAGCGTTCATAAACGATGAAAGCGTGAAAAAAATTAAACAAATTATGCTTACTAATAGAAGACTCATCATTACAGAGGTTGGTACATAAATGTAAATATCATATGGATCATTTGTAACAATATTTAATGAATGTTTTACACCCGAAACGCTAAATTATAGTCAAACATATCACTGTATTGTCATAATCAATCTCTTTCAAATTGTGCAACATTTTTTTTATTTCTTGAACTCGTAAATGTTTCTGGTACAGAACAACGCTTTTGAAGGATGATTAGACATTGTTTTTTTAACTGAAAACTATGATGGCATAAGTGCACAAAATCAAAGGAAACTATTTTGAAATGGATCCAATAAGTATTTAATATTACTATAAATATCAATATATAAATGCTTTTGAAAAAAAACAATAAAAACAGACGTTAATTATCATTCTCCATTTATATATTAGTCAAAATTTATTCATTGGAATTGTATATCTCAGTAAGTAAGCACAGTTTGAGTTAATACAAAGCTTAGCATGTTACGTATCTTAACTGTTAAAAAAACTTATTTTAATTATTTATAATTCTGTTAAGATTTTTCATCTTTATGTCAGTAAAAGCTGTCAAATTTAGTTATGTATTCGTTTCTAAAAACTTCTTAATTGCATGGATCATTTGATAATTGGTAGTAACAGTATTTCCATTTAAAACAAATCTACTAGAGCTCTGTAGTTCATTAGCAGGAATGAGTACTAAATAGTCTGAAACCAATTTATAACTCAAGTACAAAGTTCATACCATTTACAAAGCTTAACCTCAGCACTTTGTATAACAAAGCAAATTTTTCAACGTGGACATGAATTATATATATACATAAAGCAAGCAAAATTAAATAAAGATTTAATAAAGATTAAATATGTTATGTACCGTAATGTAATTCAAATACATGTTAAACTTAGTACAGTAAGATCTGATAAATAATTTCTAATATAAAAAATTTGAAAAATTGAGTAAATAAAAATATATACAAAAATATTTATGATTTATGCAAAAAATAAATATATTGTATATTGAATGAGTGATAACTAATTTATTTGTATCATACAAGCTATTAAAAAAGTTTTATGTGCCATTTTGTCTTCGCATGCAACATATGCGAGGATGGAACTATTCAAATGAAAGGTCAAAGTACTAAAAATCTCACTATAAAATTCTTAAGTTGCTCGTCTGTCTTAAATTTATTTCATTGTTAGCAATACTCGTATCCAGCCATAGATACTCGTATCTTTTTTCCTGCTTTCTTTTTTAAAATGAAATTTTAACGAACATTTAGGCGCATCCTTTTCGATGTGGTACTTTAATTTGAAATTGTATGCTAAATTATGCAGCAAAGCAAAAGTATCTGAGAAAAATGGAATATTTTATGGCACTGTCCTACGCTGTCTTCACCCTAGCCACTGTTGTTGTTTGTGTTTATGTTGTGTGTTGCTGCTATTCTGACTATTTTGACTTTTGAACCTTTTAAGAAGAAGTTCGACCTCAAAAGTAGAAAGGCGCACACATGCAGTCCTTTGAAAACATACACATGAATGGATATATCTGAAGATTCGCTATATAAATTGAACATTTTCGGAATGTTTTTGAGATTGTCTGGGAGTGTCTTGCAAAGTTTGGGTGTATTTTTGCAACCACAAGCGTTTTGCGCAAACATATTTCAAATGATCTAAATCTCAAGGACGGGCACATAAACAAAATTTACAAAAACAAAAACAAAAACAAAAAAAAACAATAAACATTGAATCCTTTTTATTGTGCCAAAAAGGCAATGTTTGGTATTTGTCATATATTTTGTTTTAAAAATGTGGCCAGAAAATTGCATTGCCTTAAAAAATACATTTCTCATTTTTAAGTTTAATTTCGTTTATTTGGCATGTAAAACTTCTGACCAGCAGGCAAATAATTTGCCATGTCCTTTGTATAGAAATACATGAAATATGTTAGCAATTTTTTAGATAAAATATTACCTAATTTTGTAGCTTTGACAAATTTTTGTGTTTAGGTCGTGTTCTTTTTTATATTTTTATATAAATGTGTCAAAATTTTTTCTGCAAATCGATTTTGGACCATTGTTGGTTTCGTTGTTTTTAGTCGCATGTATTTCTTGTCCAAATTATTTCGTATTTGGAATTGTTTTTTACATTCAGCTTTTCGAAAAGAGTTTCTATTAGATAATTAAAAAATTAAGGCCCTTCGATAGATATGTCCTTATAATAACGATTCAAATCAAAATAAAACAATAATAAATTGATTTTTAACTTCCGTTTTGACGAAAGAAACTAAGTTCTTAATATAAACTAATGTGGTCAATAGAGAGATTTTTTTGAACAGTGGTAAATTGCAACAGCATAAGTTTTTATTCTTTTAATTAATTGAATTTTTCACTGACTATACATACAGCTGTTTTTAAGTACTGCCAAATACCCTTCATCAGGGATCTTGGAATTATTTCTTATATTTAAATACCAAATAAATGAATAAATAAATGTGTGAGACTGTAAGTATCAAGTATTGAACTCGTACTCCTCCAACCACTAGCTTTGAAAACCCCTAGTTTTCTAAACCAAACTGGAGCTTTGTTAATGTCATGCAACACATTATTTATTAGTAGTTATTTTCGTTTTCTAAGTACTTTATTAGCGACAAAAATCTGTTTGTTCCAAGTGACACTTGGGAACAGTTGGCATACAATACGCTCCTGTCAGAATTCATCATCATCATTAGTGGCGAAATGATCCTAATTGAATCTTCGCCTCCCTTTGAAAATTCCTCCACATATCTCTTCGTTTGCTATCATTCTCCAGTTTTTTCTTCCAAGCTTTTTTCTTCTGGTGCATATTGAAATATTTTTTTGTTGGGTTATCTATATTCATTTTTTGAATATGTCCAGCCCATTATAATTGCTTTAGTTGTACTCTCTTGCTTATTGCTGGTTCTCCAAACACTTTTTGATATTCGTTGTTAAATCTTAGCCGATAGGTGTCGTCTTCTTCTCTAATTGGACCAAGTATGTGATGTATGATCCTGCGTTCGAAGATATCTAGCTTATTTTCGGGGATATTCTTAATTTAGTAAGCATATTTGAACCTAGTGCTTTATATAGTCCATCAAAGTTTTTTTTGATGCCTTTAATCTTTCATTTATTTCCTGACTGCAGTTATTGGTTGAGTTTATTACTGATCCAAGATATTTGAAGGATTCAACCTGCTCTCATTGATTTGGCTGTTTATTTAAAACTACTGTAACTTTCGCTTAGTGTTGGTATGTTTCGTGCTATCATGTTTATGTCATCAGTAATGGCATAAATTTGCGATCCTTTGTTCCATATCGAACCAGATGTTGCAACATTTTTTTTTTCGTACTACATATTCAGGCGCCAAGGGGAACAAAATGGGCGCTTGTGCATCTCCAAGTTCTCAGATAGCTAACCATTTACGGTGTACTACCTATTATTGTCATCTTGATTAGGCTTATAAGTTTTTGCGGTATTTGAAAATAATAATAATAATAATAATAATAATAATAATAATAATAATAATAATAATAATAATAATAATAATAATAATTGTTAAACCGAAAAGCACAACTGGTCACCTGTAAATCATAAATCCATCTGGTCACCCAAAAACTTAAGTGACAGCTAATGTCAAACGTTCGTGTTGGTTATTGGCGGAATTTTTAGCGTGGTTTTTCTAGTTTTTTGTTAGCGTGGTTTTTAATAAAGTGTACAAGCCTTGGCGAACCGCTAGGCAAATTACAAAAAATTATCTCTTTTATTTTTCTTTTTGTAACATTTTGGCGACCGTGACAGGACACTTTCATCCAATTCGCATAATTGGAGTCCGTATCAGCAGGTGCTGATCAGTGTACAAATAGTTTGTTGTTCAATTCGCATAATTGGACGCATACAAGTCATAAAAGTGGTGCGCTATACATTAGCAACAGACTTTCGAATTTTAATAACATTCAATACAATCGTTTGCATGATCTGAAGGTTAAAATTGTAGCAGCTTCATTATGTCAGACGGAGAGAACGCAGCAACTACACCAAAACCATTAGCAATAACGTCTCTAAAGCAACAAAGAGCATCGTGCAAGGGAAGCTTAACACGAATCAATAATCAAATTGATTCAACAATACAATTATCTTACATTGAACTGGAGTGTAGATTGGGATTGGTAGAGTCGTACTATAAGCAATCTACTTACTATCAATTTCAAATTGAGAATTTAGATCCCGCTGATGGTGGACGCAATGATTTAGATGAGTTGTATATCACGGTTAAAACTAAAATAAAGTCTCTTATGGAAGAACGTCGACCAAGAGATGTTGTTAATAACGAACACAGCTTCGTAATGTCACCAACAATTAATAACACTCGTTTACCAGCTTTGAAATTGCCACATTTTGATGGAAATTATATGGATTATAAAAACTTCATACACTCATTTAATAACTTAGTTAATAATGATGCTACTATATCCAAGATCGAAAAATTCAACCATTTGTTGACATGTTTAAGTGGAGAGGCGCTATCAACCGTAAAGGCCTTTCAAGTGTCGGAAGAAAACTACGAGCTAGTTATTGCACGTTTAAATGATCGTTATGATAATGACACGCTCATATTTTTAGAAAATATATCTGCACTCTACAAGGTTCCTGTGGCTTGTAATTCGGATTCCAAACAGCTCAGAAATATTGTAGATACAATGTCAGCGCTCTATAGCTCACTCAAAACATTGAGTTCTACGACACAAATCATGGACGCAATCATGATCCATCTGTTAATGAACAATGTGGATCCCGGTACGAAGCAACGTTGGGAGGATCAGCTGTCTTACGAAACGTTGCCTACATGGGAGGGCTGTTGTAAAATGTTAGAAAGAAGATGTCAACAATTGGAAGCACAAGGCAAAAACAATAACCTTCAAGTCTCAAATCAATTAGCAAATAAACCAGTCATCAAGGGATCAAAACAATATACAATGCTAACAAGTATAAATAAATTTCAGAAATCCGAATTGGTATGCGTATTTTGTTTGAAGAAAAATCACTCAATTACTACGTGTCAGCGTTTTATTATTTTATCCACTAAAGATAAGAAAGAAAAGGTACGTCAATTGCAATTATGTTATAACTGTCTTAATAAGGGACATAGTGTAGCGGAATGCCCATCAAGATACTCGTGTCGGTTTTGTAAGCAGCGACATCATTCCTTGATTCACCAAACTGTTGAATCACCAGTACAAGTTCCTTTTCTACATTCAGCGGATAATAGTGAAAATCAAATTAGTACATTCTCAGCCACATCACATGCCACTTCAGTAAGAAGCGACTCAATTCAAAAGAAAAGTACAGTCATTTTAGCCACAGCTATTATTCTTGTGCAAGATGCTGGTGGTTGCTACCATATGTGTAGAGCACTACTGGATTCCTGTTATCAGGTGAATCTACTCACACATTCATTTGCACAGCTATTAAATTTAAGAAAATCAAAATCCTCAATTGATTTATCTGGTGTTGATGACGCTTGCATAAAATTAAACTTCAAAACTCAAACTACTATACGATCTAGAGTAAGCAATTTTGAAAAATCGGTTGAATTCCTGTTAGCAAACAACATCACTGGCTATCAACCTGACGAATCTATCTCCTTAAAGAATATGCCGATGCCGAAAGCCATCGAATTTGCAGATCCTGAATTCAATGTCCCAGGAAAAATCGATGCACTATTGGGAACGGAAGTATTTTTCGCGTTATTGTTATCTGGTCGCACCCAACTCGGTGTTAATCTACCAACACTTCAAGAGACCAAATTGGTTTGGATTGTGAGTGGTAAATGTGAATCATCAAGCATGTCATCTTCAGATTACCGAAGTTTTTGCACAACATTCCAAACATTAAACTCTAATGTTGAACGTCTGTGGAAATTGGAGGATGTTACTACCCAACCTTCGAAATTCACCATTGAGCAACAACAATGTGAAAAGCATTTTGTAGAGAATGTACAGGTAAATGCCGAAAATCGAATAAAAGTACGTTTTCCATTTAAAACCAATCCCGATGCTCTCGGTAACTCTAGTGACATAGCGTTGCAGAGATTTTGTTGGATGGAACGAAAACTGAATAAAAATCCATCATTGAAAAAGGATTACGCATTGTTTTTAAAGGAATATGAAAATCTAGGTCACATGTCCCGGATTATGTCTCCTGATCTGAGTCGTGCTCACTATTTCATTCCACATCATTACGTGTTGAAACCAACTAGTGAGACCACGAAATTGAGAGTAGTATTTGACGCGTCATGTCGCTCAGCATCACAAGTATCACTAAATGACTTACTGATGGTTGGACCAACAATACAAAATGATTTATTTGTTACACTAATTCGTTTTCGGAACCATCAGTATGGGTTAATGGCAGACATAAACAAAATGTACCGTCAAGTGTTGCTTCATCCAGATGATAGGCGGTTCCAACTAATACTATGGCGAGAAAATGAACACAAACCAATCTCAACGTATATGCTTAACACCGTCACATACGGCACATCAGCGGCTCCACACCTTGCAATACGAAGTCTCCAGTATGCTGCTGAAAATTATCATCAGGCGCATGAACTAGGAAAGGCCGTTATTCTAAACGACTTTTACGTTGACGATATGGTCACCGGAGCGGACGATTTGGCAACATTGATGCAAATAAAAGAAGAAGTTTCTGAAATATTAAATCACTTTGGGATGGAATTGTGTAAGTGGCATTGTAGTCATTGTAACTTAAATGCAACTTTGGAACGCGACCTTCAGCTGAATGAAGACACAACCAGTGCTCTCGGAGTAAAATGGAGACCAGATACAGATGTATTTCTGTTTTCGTTTAAACCTAAAAAATTGGTAAGCGTTACTACTAAAAGATCGATTCTATCATTTACAGCTTCATTTTTCGATCCGTTGGGCCTAATCAATCCAATCATTGTAGTACCAAGAATCATATTACAACAGCTGTGGGTACAAAATATTTCTTGGGATGAAGGCATTCCAGAGATTTTAGCAAATAAATTTAAGGATTTCATTGATGACTTGCAACATTTACCACTGCTACATATTCCTCGTTTTGTACGAGTGTCTAACACAATTGAAGTACAAGTTCACGGCTTCTGTGATGCATCTGAAAAGGCGTACGGTTGCTGCCTATACTTGAGATGTAAGGATTCATTGGGAACCATATGCGTAAACTTACTTACTTCAAAATCAAGATTGGCTCCTACGAAAACATGTTCGTTGCCACGACTAGAACTCTGTTCAGCTCAATTATTAACGAAATTATGGGCAAAGGTACAACCGCATTTATCGTTTGAAATATCAGAAGTCCATTTCTGGTCCGATTCACAAATCACACTTCATTGGATTCGCTCTGAATCATCAACATTATCCGTTTTCGTTGGCAATCGAGTTGCCGACATCCAAAATTTGTCAACAAATACTACATGGCATCATGTTGATTCAGCAAATAATCCGGCAGACGTCATTTCGCGTGGGTGTTCGGTGCACACATTGCAGTCATCCATATGGTTTCACGGGCCAACATTTCTCCAAAACGACATTAATGAATGGCCTCTGCACTCATCAGTGGAATTACAGACCACACATCTTAATTTGGAACGCAAGAAAACGTGTCTGATTATTAAACAAAGGAAACCATCATATATTATCGAACAAATTTATTATTATGGTAATTATCTTAAATGTGTGCGTACATTTGCCTACGTGTTACGTGTCATTCAACCACGATCAAGAAATACTGATGTACTCAAGGCTAGCGAATTAAAAAATGCTCTATATCATATTGTTTGGGCTATTCAACAGCACCATTTTGCTAGAGAAATTACATTGCTGAAAACAAAAAAGCCAATTAAGGGTCAACTAGCAAACTTATGTCCGTTTCTCGAACAGTTTGGGAACTTGTTGTTATTACGCGTTGGTGGCCGTCTGATGAATGCAGATGTATCTTTTGAAGTGAAGCATCCTCTATTATTGCCAAAGGCGGACACATTCGTAGTCTCATTAGCGACACACATACATCGCTCGAATTTTCATGCCGGACCGCGAGCTTTAACAACACTCATTCAACAAGAATTTTGGGTCATAAATTGCAAGTCTTTAGCAACTCAGGTAGTTCGTAACTGTATTCACTGCATCAAATATAAACCGAAATTGTTAGAGCAAGTAATGGGTAATCTTCCTAAAGAACGAGTCACAGAATGCTTGCCGTTTCATGTTACTGGAGTCGATTTTGCCGGACCAATACCCACATATTTAAAGATAAGAGGCAAGCGACCATATAAATCTTATATTGCTGTGTTTGTATGCTTTGCAAGTAAAGCGGTGCATTTGGAGGCTGTAACAGAATTATCTGCAGACGCATTCATATCAGCGTTAAAACGATTCGTTGGTCGTCGAGGTGTACCTATGAAGATATTTTGCGACAACGCAACAAATTTCGTTGGTGCAGACAACAAGCTCAGAGAGTTCCGCAATTTCTTTAATAAACAATGTACAATTAATACCATCACGTCACATTGCGCAAATTTACGTATTGACTTTTCCTTTATACCGCCAAGGGCACCTCACTTCGGAGGTCTCTGGGAAGCTGCGGTAAAAATTGCAAAATCACACTTGTACAAAACCCTATCAAATGCTCGACTTACATTCGAAGAACTGGCTACGGCTCTCGTCGAGATCGAAGCTGTGATGAATTCCCGTCCACTTACAAGTATATCCACAGATCCTAATGACTTGTCAGTATTAACACCAGGCGAATTACTAATCGGCAAAAAACTAAAGCACATACCGGAACCAGTGATTACGTCACAGGAAATTTCGTTGCTTGCTCGATGGAAACGAATTACTGCAGTAAAATCTCAATTTTGGCGTCGCTGGCAACATGAATATTTATGCACATTACAATCACGAAATCGTTGGCAACATTCAACTCGCAATTTAAGGGTCGGTGACTTAGTAATTATTCATGACGATAACCTGCCACCTATGAAATGGCTTCTTGGTCGCATCATTCGCACGGTAACAGGAGCAGATGGCAAGGTCAGAGTGGCAGAAGTTAAGACGCCTGAAACCACACTCACTCGACCCATTGCGAAGCTGGCGTTGTTACCAATATTGAATTCAGATGATTCAATGGGGCCGGGATGTTAAACCGAAAAGCACAACTGGTCACCTGTAAATCATAAATCCATCTGGTCACCCAAAAACTTAAGTGACAGCTAATGTCAAACGTTCGTGTTGGTTATTGGCGGAATTTTTAGCGTGGTTTTTCTAGTTTTTTGTTAGCGTGGTTTTTAATAAAGTGTACAAGCCTTGGCGAACCGCAAGGCAAATTACAAAAAATTATCTCTTTTATTTTTCTTTTTGTAACAATAATAATAATAATAATAATAATAATAATAATAATAATAATAATAATAATAATAATAATAAGGTTAAGATTACCTTTGGCTATTTCTCTTTCTTCTCTTTCTTTTCCTTTATGGTGAAAAGGAATACCTGACGAGTCACCACTGAATAGTGACTCGTCAGCACTGCAACGAGTTTCGATTTCAGTTCTACATGTAAGGTGTTTCGTTCTGAATAAATTACAACTTGGTCATATTAATTTGAATTTTGCGCAACCCTTCATAGTGTTCCATCAATATTCTACTACTTTTAGAGAATGATAATTGATATTTTTCTGGAGACTTTTTATTAAAGGCAGCGATTGTTTAACTGCGGTGGATGCTTTTGATTCTAATTTAGCTACTGTATTAGCTATTTCATTTCCTTTTGTTCCTTAAAGTCCTGTAACTGAGATCACTAAGCTAAGTCAATTCAAGTTACCTCAATTTAAATCGTTGAGTTTTGCACTGACTTACTGTGATTTATATCAGATATATTTAATTATATTTTCCTATCAATATTTCAATTTTTATTTTCATTTCCGCCACGAGAAATATTAATTTCAGTTAATTTTTAGTTGTGTCTTAAGTGAATAATGTAATCAATTTATAATATTTAAATAAAATAAAATTAAAACTAACCTCTCTTGAAAGTAGTTAAACCGCAGTACTAGACAATGTAGATTGTATTGACTTGGGATGTTAATTATTGATTTAAATATTAGGATAAATTATGAAACTTACTTGAGATATGTTTAATTAGTTATATCTTCATTAGTATAAAAATATCATATTTTTTGGTGTGCTTAATTACATCTTGGTATTGTATACGTAAGTATTTGACTCAGAAGAAACATAATGCTTAGTATTGTATTTATTTCTAAACTTTAATTAAACTTGTAATTATTTTGTTTTGAAGCTAAGATATGTATTCTGGTAATATTTAAGTACCTAATATGTTTTAAGATGTTTAAATAAATATCTTAAATAATGAAGTTCTAATTTCAGATAAAATTTAATCTACTTTGTCTCAAATGGTGAGTTGATTTTATAATTTTTGTCTTAAAATGAAATATGTAATTTTTTATTTTATGAGAATTATTACTATATATACATTAGGAGGGGTGACAGACATTGTCGTGGCCTCTGCCTACTTCCCAGGTGATGAAAATGCAGTTCCACCAACGGAAGTCCAGCAGCTGATTAGCTTCTGCAGGTCCACTGGGCGGCAGCTAATCTTGGGCTGCGATGCAAATGCTCACCATACGGTGTGGGGGAGCAGCGATATTAACAAAAGGGGTGAGTACCTATTAGAATATATCATATCAGCAGGTTTGAATATAGCTAACAAAGGTAATAAACCCACATTTATTAACGCAATTAGAGAAGAGGTACTAGATCTCACTCTATGCACCAGAGGTATTGAGGAATCTATATGGAATTGGCATGTGTCGGACGAAGTGTCCCTCTCTGACCATCAACATATTAGGTTTGAAATTCCCGGTATATCCGCACAGCAGGAAAAAGTTTACCGACCCAGAAAAACCGACTGGCATAGGTACAGGGACTTAGTGTGTTCCGCAAACTTTTCCATAGCTAGGCCTTTACAAACTGTAGAAGAGTTAGAGTTAGCCGCTAACCACTTAGGTGAGGTATTACTAACCTCCTTTCATAACAGCACGGTTGCAGGCAATGCCACAATTTTGGGTAAGGTTCCTTGGTGGAACTCGCAACTAGCTAATAAGCGCAAATTAGTAAGGAGCTTATTCAATAGAGCAAAACGCTCAGGTAGGTGGGAAGAATATAAAATTGCACTCACAGACTACAATAAATCAATCAGACAGTCCAAACGGACTAGCTGGCGAAGCCACTGTGAAAGTATTGAGAAGCTGCCCGAGGCTGCCAGACTACACAAGGCATTAACTAAGGTCAAAAATAACGAAGTAGGCCTTTTAAAAAAACCCGATGGATCCTTCACCACTGGTCGTGAAGATACCCTTGAGTTTCTGTTGCAAACACACTTCCCTGGCTCTTTAATCGGAGCATCAACATCAAAATCAAACAGAGAAGTAACTGCTCCTACACGTCAGGAACACGCACTTTCTGGTGTTATCTTTGACAAGGACAAGGTGAAATGGGCGATCAGCTCATTCCTACCATTCAAGGCGCCTGGTGGCGACGGTATCTTTCCTGCTTTATTGCAGAATTGTACTGATATCATTCTAGACCCATTAATCAAACTCTTTAGGGCATGTTTCATTATGGGTTACATCCCTCACTCCTGGAGAGATGTAAATGTGATCTTTATTCCCAAATTGGGTAATAAACCCATGGACCAGCCAAAGTCCTACAGACCAATTAGTCTTACTTCCTTCTTATTAAAAACTGTCGAAAGGCTAATTGATCTGCACATACGGGAAAAAATGGGACAAACGGTTCCACTCCACCCCACACAATATGCCTATTCAAAAGGCAAATCTACGGAGGTCGCGCTGTATCACTTGGTCAGCAAAATTCAAAGCACCTTTCAATCTAAAGAAATTGCCTTATGTGCATTTCTGGATGTAGAAGGTGCTTTTGACAATACATCTTATGAGTCCATATCCAGTGCATTGGCCCGGAAAGATATAGACTCCTGTACAATAACGTGGATAGATAGGATGTTACGTGACAGGAACATATCTACCAAGTTAGGTAATACCACCGTTAGCATTAGTGCAGTACGGGGTTGCCCCCAGGGTGGGGTTCTCTCACCATTGTTATGGACGTTGGTAGTAGACGATCTACTAGTCAAACTGGAACAATCTGGCTACCATGCCATAGGTTATGCAGATGACTTGGCAATCATAGTTTGCGGTAAATATGAGGCCACAGTTACTGACGTAATGCAGGCGGCCTTACACAAAGTTTCGAGCTGGTGTATAAAAGAAGGCCTAAGTATTAACCCAAAAAAAGCAGTAATTGTACCATTTTCCAGAAGGTATAAACTGAACTTAGGGTCCCTATCTATAAAAGATACGGCTATTGAATGTTCCGACGAAGTTAAATATCTAGGAATCACCCTAGATAAGCGTCTTAATTGGAACACTCACCTGGATAATGTAATTGGCAAAGCCACAAGGGTAATGTGGACATGCAGGAACGCATATGGTAGGACCTGGGGCCTTAGTCCCAGAATTCTCTCATGGATCTACCGTACAATGGTCAGACCAATTGTATCCTATGCAGCTCTTGTTTGGTGGAATAAAGCACAACAAAAAGCTGCAATACTCAAATGCAATAAACTGCAAAGACTCGCATGTATCGCTATGACGGGAACTATCAGAACATGTCCCACATCAGCTATGGAGTCCATAGTGGGTTTTACCCCTCTGCACCTCTTCATTAAAAAGACGGCAGCCCTGAGTGAAGCTAGGCTACACTCTGGTATCAATATGCACGGAAGTCTTGACAGTCAAAACTCTATCTGCAGACTAGTTCCTGGCATAGAGATCTGCGATAGGACAGATCGCATGAACATGGAACTTCGCTTCGGTAGAAAGTTCGAAGTCCTCATTCCCGATCGATTGGATTGGGTAAATGGCACCCCTGGAGCAGAACCAGAAGTGATATCATGGTTTACCGATGGTTCAAAAACCACGGAAGGTGTTGGTGCTGGAATATTTGGTCCTAACACCAGAATCTCGCTAGCGCTGGGTATATGGCCCACTGTCTTCCAAGCAGAGGTTCACGCCATCGAGGTCTGCGCTCGTATCAACTTAAACAACGGGTTGAAAGGCGCCCGCATCTGTATTTACTCAGATAGTCAAGCGGCAATCAAAGCTCTATCCACCTGGAGGTTTTTCTCAAAACTTTCATTAGACTGCTTTGATATGTTGCAACAGCTGGCAAGCAGAAATAAGGTGACGCTTTGCTGGGTGCCTGGACACACAGGTATAAAAGGAAATGAATCTGCCGACAGCCTTGCAAGGGCAGGTTCTGCAACTAAAATCTGTGGACCAGAACCCTATTGTGGTCTAAGTTGGTCAACAACTAGTTATCTAATTGATAAATGGATCTCAGCCGAGAGAGGTCGCTACTGGAGTGACAATCGAGGTAACCGTCAGGCAAAACAGCTGGTTCATCCATATAGTTATGGCAAGGCATCCCTCCTCAGCAGATCAGATTTGAGGTTGCTGGTGGGATATTTAACGGGTCACCATGGACTGCGTTATCACCTTAACAAAATAGGTCTGTCCGAAGAGATAGAGTGTCGACTATGCTTAGAGGCAGATGAGACTACGAGCCACATTCTCTGTGACTGCCCAGCCTTGATCTGGGCAAGGAGGAAATCACTGGGAGGAGAGCTGCTCTCTCCTTCTGACATTAGGAGGTCCTCAACGGACGACATTCTGGCCTTCATTCGGAAAGCGGAATGTCTTCTGTTCAATTAGGGTCAGTTACGGCACAAAAGATCAATCTGGTCGCAGTGCTCTGCTCCAGTGGGAGCTAGTACCCTGTTTATTTCTATTTCTATTTCTATACTATATATTTTTGATGAACAATATATTTAATATTTCACAAACAAGCAAGTGCATATTAATAAATATTTATATATATTAATTTTAATTGTACTTACAAAAAAGGAGTATATAGCTTTAATTTCCAAATTAGGCTTAGGGCTTAGGGCTTAAGGAGTATATGTTTTATTGAAGAAAAAACACAGAATGAGGAGTGACAACAATAATTATAAAAAATAAGATAAGCTTGATTTTGTACTGGTGT